CGCTGGAGCCGGCATCGGTCAGTGCAGGCCCCTTCTGCCTGCTGCGGAGGGTGATAAATGGAGAAGACCTCTTCTCTGCCCCCTGCCACGTCTCCGATTTCAAATGAAGAGTTACGGTTTAAAATAAATAACTATTTTTCTCCCTAAACGCGGCTAGTCTTCAGTGATAACATGGAAAGGCTCATCTATCCCAGCAGCTCCGCTGAGCCATAGTAGCATAACTTTTAACAGGCACTGAAAAAAAATTTACTTTGTCAAAGTTACACTTTTCTTGTTCCTGTTTGGTTTTGGGATTGTTTTTTGTTGCTGTTGTTGTTACAAAGATAGAGATCAAAGGAGAAAAGGATAATTTTCTTAGGTCTTGTAAATGGTTCCTTATGCAGATCATCTTTCTAAAACCTTGAGCTGAGGATTCCTAAACCAAGCAAGCACTGCAAGCGTACGTGTTTTGCACATCTTGCACCAGTCCTGGTTCAGTTCGGGATCATACGACTCTTGACGATGGCTGACGAAACTTCACGGATAAAAGTTTACATTGTTTGCATGTGCAAAGAAGGCAGGGAGCTGTCACACCATGAATTTCAGTGCATCTCACACACACCTCCCCCCCATTCTGAGTGTGCACTGTCAGTTCAGCCATCAGTTAAATACTTGGATGAGCTGGAGGGGTGCTCTGGTGGTTAAAGGAGTAGCCTGGTGCTCACGAGAGCTGAGTGTGACTTCCAGTTCTCCAGCGTGTTCTCTGTGACCTACGTGTCTGTGCTTTTAGCCCCATTTGACAGACGGAGAACTGGTTTTTCCCTGCCTTTGTCTGTTTATGTCTCACGGTGATGATGGTGTTACACTTAAATAAGTTCCTGCCATTGACGTGTGGTCCTTGCCTATCATCTTCGTTCATTTTTGTCTGCGTAGGCTTTCCTCCCTGTATTTGTTCCACTCCTTCTTGTGATGCAAGAGCTAGTGTTCTCTTCTTTGCAAGCAAAACACTGTTCTGGGTTGTTTTTATACCGTATCTGTTTCCTGCCAGTACTTCTTCCCTCTGTTCGGACTATGTGCAGTCTTCAGCTCTTCCTCTCCTGCGTATCCTGACTGTACACCCTACTCATTTACTTATGAGCACTATTAATTTACTTATTCCTAGAAAGTAAACGCAGATTCTAGTTCTTGGGGTCTGGAAAACAGTCTGTTTAGAAAATGGCAGTTCAATGCTTGTAGCTTCCCTTTGTGTGTTGTTTAGGCTAGCGCTACATCAAGGGCAGCACTCTTGGGAGTCCAACCCTGAAGGTGTCACCCAGAGTTGTTGTTGCTCTTCTGTCGAGAATGGGGAAGGGAAATAAATGCAGTTTCATTCCCTTTATGGGAAGACTGGTTATGTTTTGGGGGTTTTTTTGTGATGAGCTGCCTTATTACAGTGTTCAGTACACCCCACCAATAACTTTGAAAGTGTGACTTCCTGCACGTGTACACTCTTCCAATTTATGTGTCAGAACACCCATTCTGCTTGCTGAACTGGTTTTAGTTCTGTACTTAGTTGCGCGTTGCGAGGGTTTTCTTCCTCTTTTTGTTGCAAAAGCAAACCTGTCTGACACCTTAGCGGAAGCAAAGAAGCAGCTGTTGGTTTTGCACCTATAACTGTTTTGTGTATTGCTTTTTTTTCCCCCATCCCCTCCTTTCCAGGGTTCTGCAGTGCTCCAGGCAGCGAGTTTTGAAGCAGGATGGGAAAAAGACGCTGTGTTCCTCCACTTGAGCCCAAGCTGGCAGCTGGCTGTTGTGGGGTAAAGAAGCCCAAATTGTCTGGGAGTGGAACGCACAGTCATGGGAATCAGGCCACAACTGTACCAGGCTCCAGTTCAGGTCCTCTTCAGAACCACCAGCATACAGATGGGAATAATGGAAGGGAGAATGTATCTGACTTGACTTTGGGCCCAGGAAATTCCCCAATTACTCGAATGAATCCCACTTCAGGAGCTCTGAGCCCACTTACTCGGCCCAATGGAACTGCCAACAGCACCAAGAACCTGGTGGTGACAGCGGAGATGTGCTGCTACTGCTTTGATGTACTCTACTGTCATCTCTATGGTTTCCCTCAGCCACGACTTCCTCGATTTACCAATGACCCCTAGTGAGTAAATCCATGTGCGGGAGGAAAGCTGAGAAACCAGCATCCAGAGCTGTGGTTTGATTGGGGAGGGATGAGGGGTATCCTCTGCAAAATGGGAAAATTGTTATGCAGGGGGGAAACGGGGGGCATTCTGCTGCTTGCTTGGTCTACCAGAAACAAAAAATTATGTGCTGTAAGTGCACCAAAGAGTAAAACTATTCTGTTATGTTTGTGGGTGGAGATGAGTGGAGCTTTGAAGAGTGGTCTTCAAGCTGCATGCGTAGCTCTACAGAAAGAGAGCGAGGCAAAATATGAGGAAGTGTGGTGCTTCAGCTCACAGTCTGATGTGTTGCCCAAGATGTTGCATACTTTATAGAGGAGTGCAGACCTATTTCATGGTAACATTCTTTTAAAATTTGCTGCCTTCTTTGAAAATAGATTCCTCTGCAAAAAATTAACTGCACTGTGTCTCCCATAAAATTGTACTAAAAGAATGAGTGAAACTGAAATTAGAGTTTTCAGAAAACAGTAAAATAATGTCACTAATTTCAAGAGGATCCTGCTTCTAATGTCAGGCACTAACTTGGTGGAGGGACAAGGGGAGAGATTTCTTTCTTGTGAAGCAGGTGGAAGAGAATAAAGTGAGAAGCTGAAACAAGTCCCCGGCTCATCCTGAAACAAGTGCTGAGCTGGTGAGAACTGGACAAGGACACACACAAGGGTGTTCAGTTGTCCAAGTTAATGGGTTTAGCAGAGAGGGGAACCAAAAATTTGGCAGTTGTGGAATTGAAACTGTGTTAGGGAGGTGGTGCTATTTAGGCAATACAGGGAGAAATGGAGAGTTAACTTTCAAGGACAATACCAAGGTTAAGAAGAAAGGAGGCGTGCATGAGAAGAAGTGAGGAGAAGGATTTATGAACGTATTTCACTTTGGTGAGATTTAGCTAATGTTTATCTGAAGGTTGAATGTGTAGGTGTGGAAATGTTAATGTTGTTAAAATGTTTGGTGGAAGAATTATATGGGAAAGATCAATGACAGATACACCTTCTGACACTCCTCCAGGGGCCGCCTCCAGGACAATAGATAAAATAAAAAGTTGTTGACATCCTTAATTTAAGTTAATGAATTTTAAATTGATGTAAAGGAACAATGGCTTAAAGAGGTCAAGGACTTTTTCCGTACATTGAGTGTCTCCCCACCGTATTGGCTGTCAGTGTAGATGTAGGTTGTGCATCCATGCAGTTATTATCCAAGCAGGATTATGGAATGCCACCGCAGACTAAGCTGTTTAATGTTGTAAATACAAGTGAATGGAGAAATACTCTGGACTACAATATAGAATAGTTCCAGTGACTCCTCAAGCTGAAATATTTCTGTTGTTTTTCATACCTAAGCTAAGTAGGCTCCTTTTAGAAAATTATACATTAGTCTGCTTATTATTTTGTCACTTGAAATGCAAAGAGGTTTTGTTGTTGTTCTGTTCTTAAGTCAATAAGAGAGATTATTTTATACAGATTCATTATTTTGGCATTAAAGGAGACTTCTAGCTGGTTTTTGTTGCTGTTCTGTTGACTAGTTTCAAAGAGGGCGTTCTTTCAGGAGTCTCAGCTGTTCAACTTTTATGCCCAAATTTGAAAAGTAAAACATAGTTCACTGGGCTTTTCCATGCTGATAATTTTAAAGTCTTTTAGATTAACACTCCAAAGCAATACCAACTCTTCTCTTTTCTTCCCCTCTGGGCAGATGCCTACCTGAATTTTCTTTTATTTCAGCATTTATGCTGTTCCTTCTAGCAAATAGTTGTCTGTACCGCAGGGAAAAGCATAGGATTTGTTGTCTTGTAGAACAGCACACAGGGATGATCTGTCACACATGAGACAGTAATGTAATGAACTTCAAGCCAAATATTATCAAATATAAGAGTAAGCGAAGTGAAAATACATAAATAATTTGCATTGTTGTCCTTTGTAACATAATTAGTGTTGAGGTAAGAGATCTTTGAACAAAACAAAGATATATGCCAGAAGTCTCTCTGGGCAGACAGAAATGAAACTGTTGATGGAAGGAATAGAGAGATGCACAGGTTTGCCCCAACCTATTTCTCAGAAAACAGATCTTTTAAATTGAACCCTAAAGTAAAGATAGAAGTAGTCGGGAAGGTCAGGATTCTGCATAAACAGGGTAATAACATAAAAGTTACAGGCTTATGACTTGAAAACAACCGTGAATTCCAATTACCAGCTTGAGAGGATATACACGTGGACAACAATCTTGATGGGAATTATGGCACGGGTAGATACCTACGGAGTAAGGGAACCTTACATACATGTTAGCAGCAAGGCTCACAAATCAATGTAGAGAAGGTGGCATTGCAAAACTCGTAGGTATGTCTGAATTAACTTGGTAAATGAAGAAAATATCCCATTTGTTGTTCAGGTTACTGAAAAAAACCCAATTTTGAACCTGTATAGCATGCCACTTCTTCCACTTTTGTACTTCAGTCTTTGATTTTTTTTAATAGTAGGTATTATAAATTGGTACTAAAACTACACCATGCAAGTTTCTACTTGCCATGCAAAACAAATAATAAGGTACTTGCATCATAAAATCTGTACTGTAACAGGGTTTTTCCTAGTACAAGCTAAATTCTGATTTAAACAAACTATGTTTTGCTACTTTAAAATTCCCTTTGAGGTTGCAGTTGGAGAACCTAGTTTTTAGTTGCTGAAACTCCCCTCCTCTCAGCCTAGCCAACTCTCATCAAACACACCTAAGTAGGATGTTGTGGCTGGGGGAGAAATGGTTGCCATGATCTGCTTGGGATACGACTGCAAAGTACTGGTAAGTGCTCTTGGGTGAACACGGGCAAAAGATTGTCGTGACTTTTCTCAGTACATCTGGGAAATACGCTTTTCAGGGAGGGGCTGTGGAACAATTGGCTTATTGTCAGCTGCACCTGCAATATGCTAAGCGTATTTATTCTTCAGATAGAGAAACAACGTCTTTGCTACAGCGAAAAACTTGATAATAGTGAAATTTTATATAGTTGCACAAAATCATAATCTTTTTTTTTTAATACCTCAGTTGTTATGACCACAGTGAAAAATTGTTAAAAGTGTGCTTTAAGATCTTTTAAAATATGACAGCCTTCTGAATGTAATTATCCTGTCCTTTCTGGTACTATCTCTTCTATTATAGATGCAGAAAGCTGTGTCACAGCTCAGTGGAAACTTTTTTTTTTAAGGGGAAAGAGATGTATTGGAAATGTGAACTTGTAATTTGAATCCAAGAAGAGAAGGAATTTACTTAGATTTGTATTCTGTCAGTGATGCTTTTCATTTTCTCCCCTTTTCTGCTAGGGGTGAGTGTCACATGGGCTAAGTAATGGTTTCAAAACTTTAATTAGATTAAGCTAAATTTCCACTGAGCTTGTGACAGTAATGTTTCTCAGAAATCTCCTTTGCAAGTTTAGTATCTTTTCTTACGCTCTGTTTGTTTTCTGTTTCAACATATGGTAGCTGGATGAAAGCGTAGAGGAATGATATCCTGCAAGTGCCTTGACGTGTTGTTGGAAAACTAGAACAGTAAATCCTCTGTCTTGGTCAAGCAACCATAAGATGGCTGATGGTTGTGGAAGAATAATTCTGCTTCCTCTGTGGGCAAAGTACTTCACAATTACCACTTAAAGGCTGCTTGCTATTTTGGGTGGTACTTCTGCTGTTGGTCACAGCTGGTAACTAGGTCCTGAATGATGGATTTATGCTGTGATAGAGTTTTTTAATTCCATTGTTGCTCAGAGGAACGTCAGTGGGCATTGCTTTATCACTACAGTTTAAATTAGGTTCTAACTACGTAGATGTAAGAAGCCCTGTTGCCTGTATTTGAGAAATCATCCACACTCTACACTGGTTTTGTTGTCTGAACAGAATCCCTTCGTATTTTTTTGTGATGTTTGCTGCAAAAATATATTGCTTACAAGAGCTTCAAGAGTTTGAGGAAAATGAGTGTCTGCACTCTGATGTAGAATCAGTTACTCTGTTTTCATGGTTTAGACCTCCTGCCAATGGCTGTTTAATTTCAGGAAATTATTTTCTTTACACTGCATGTTTTCTATCATATTACTTAGCTTTTAAAGTTCAGTAGAAATCCATAGACTAATGTGTGGAATCACAAATTACTTTCTCATCTATGCTTGGGTTCAAAGTGACCACATCTTGTATTCAGTACTATGTAATCCGAAAAAGTAAGATCAGTCATCATGTTTCTGTAATTAGATCAGCTTCATCAATTGCCTTGCAGAATTTCCCAGATGTTGGATATTCTTTTATGGCTACAGCCACCATTGTCCTTTCTTTACTGTTTTTTTTCTCTACAGCTGTTTGCAAATTCACTCACTTCTGTAGAAGTGAACTTTTTGCATTTAATATTCACAGCCATCTTTACCTGTTTACCTCTTCATAGAGCTCTTTTTGAGAATCTACCGAGAGCTCTTTTTGAGAATCTACCGATATGCCTGTAAATTCTTGATAGTAAACAGGAAAGCGATGTTTGAGTAGGAACAATATAGTGATTTAGATATGTGTTCAACAGGAGAGAATCTGTGTAAATATCAATCAAATGTAAGGTAAGCAAAAGATGTGAACTTAAACTGTTTGAGCACTAGGGATGGACCCAGAAGTCAGATCCTCATGGAAATAACAGGGAAAAAAACCCCTAGGCTTGCTTTTTATCCCTTAAAAAAAAAAAAAAAAAAAAAAAGCTTTTATTGCAAACTTGCATTATAGATGGATTGTGGACTGCTTGGGGATCTTTCAGGTTCAATGGTATGATAAATATGTAATCTTACTTGCTTCACCTATATTAATTTTGATATGGGTTGTCATGTAAACTAGCGAATGCTACTAAGTGAGGCCATTACTCACAGAGGTAATCAGTGGGGTCAAATAACCATATTGCTCATGAGAGGACAGTGCAGTCTGGCCACGAAGGTGTTGGTGGGGAGCTTACAGAGTGCTGGTGGAGAGAAAGGAGTATGCCAAAAAGGTGTGGGGAGGTGCTGGGTTTTGCATTTAGGGGTGTGTAGGTGTGTTTTATTATTGCTAGATAGCAAGTGAGAAAACATGCCTGTTGGGGTTTATTAGAGGGAGAGAAAGCAAGTGCATGCAAGTGCATGCTTTTACACCTTGTTGGTCTCCCCTTAGCAACCAAATATCTCTAGATACTGGAGTATTTCTTCTTTGCCTTTTCAGTCCACTCTTTGTGACGTGGAAGACGGGGCGAGACAAGCGGCTTCGTGGCTGCATCGGGACCTTTTCAGCCATGAATCTTCACTCAGGACTCAGGGAATACACATTAACCAGGTAATTATGTTGAAAATGAAATAAATCTGAAATTACCTTAATTTGCTGAAGATCTATAAGGATTCAAGGTTAAGATGTTCGATCAACATAGTTCAATTTAATATGCTTCAGAATAAAATAAACCTGAGAATTGTATGATAGTTACGGTGAGGTAGTGTATCAGGATTTAGTGGAACATCTTTGCAACAGGTGAATTTTTGTTGACATTTTAATGCTAATGTCAAATCTGTCTTGCATACTAACAGTTTCGACATCTTACATAGCACATGACTTCTCTCCAATTGCAGTAAGTGGAGGACAGCATCAGGAAGCTTGCACTAGTGTTTGCATATTACAGTTCATTAGATTAGGAAGAGATGCAAATCACTTTCTCTGCAGTAGCAAAGAGAAACATGTTTCACAGAGGCATAATCAAAAAGGGAATAACTGAGCATCTGACACTTTAATTTCGGTGCTTGTACGAGGCAGTGATCAAAAAGGGAATAACTGAGCATCTGACACTAATTTTGGTGCTTGTACGAGGCAGTATATCTCTTCTTTCCTTCAGTGCACTTAAGGACAGCCGATTTCCCCCCCTGACCCGCGAGGAGCTGCCCAAACTCTTCTGCTCTGTCTCCCTCCTCACTAACTTTGAGGATGCCAGTGACTACCTGGACTGGGAGGTGAGAACAGGTGCATTTGGAACTCTGCATCACTCTCTCGTTCCATTCGGGTTCGGGTTAGTACATGGTGATGTGTCTCCTTCGTTACAGGGGTGTATGGGCATTGAAACTCTGAATAGAAGAAATGGGGCTGAACAACTAGAAGGGAGGAAGAGGATGGGCTAGCAGTATGCTTTTGGTTGGGAGGGGATCTGAATGGGAGCAAAAGAGACATGAAAGTGTTTTATAGATTTGGCCCAGTAGGACCTAAGTGTTTAAGTGTTTAAGACCAGGCTGGATGAGGCTTTGGGCAACGTGGTCTAGTGGAGGGTGTCCCTGCCCATAGCAGGGGGGTTGGAACTAGATGATCTTTGAGGTCCCCTCCAACCCAAACCATTCTATGATTCTATGAAATACATATTTAAAAACCTGGGAAGTATTTTGATGCTGTGAATAGAAACTGGGAACAAAAAGTAGAGACCGAAAGGAATTAACCATTTTTCAGGACCTCATATGTGGAAATGCATTTAGTTCAAGAAAGATTAAACAGACTTTGTGGTTGGGCTATTTTAGGCATGATTCTTGTGTAGAGATCTTGTCTTTCTTGCCCAACACAAGAGATGAAAAACTGTCAGACTGGTGACAAGACTTACTTCAGGAGAACTGGCAGGGAGACTGGTTAGTAGGCTTGTCTGGGAAAGGTGGCAGAGGTCCTTTATGCTGCTCAGAGAGCTACTTGTGAGACCTGCCTGGCAAGGACAGAGAGTGGGGAAGAGAATGTCCTTATCCAGGGAAAAGCCAAACTGGCCATAGAGAGAGAAACACACAGTGTGGGGGGAATGACAACTCGATCATGGATTCAGTGCTAGCAAACACCTCTTATTTGGCTATTCATTTCCATCTATAGGTTGGGATCCATGGGATCAGAATAGAGTTCATCAATGAGAAAGGTGTCAAACGCACAGCCACGTATTTACCTGAGGTTGCTAAGGAACAAGGTGGGTTTGAGATGGCAGCCAAACATGTCAACACATTGTGTCACAGAATTGGGTAACATAAGTCTATGGATTTTGGGTTTGGATTGCAATGCTATCCTCATGGTGCCATGGAGCCACCAGGCTTAATCTGGATAACTGACACCTGATACAGCTGCTGCTGGGTTTTCATCTGGCCTTTCTCTCATCCCACATCTGTGCACAGCTGTATCTTAGTGTAAAAATGTTTTAGGGCTTAAGAAATAGAGGATCTCAAAGTATGGATCTTCCAGCTTCATTCAGCGTTGCATCTTTCCTCTTCTATGTTTTTCCCACCAACTAGGATAACTGCAGGCTGCACAGCACCAACAGGAGAGTCCCTTTCCTCCTCATTCTTGCTAAAGTAGCATCCTCCAGATGAGGGCAGGAAACAGGGCCCCTCTGGAGCACACTTCCCACTCAAATATAGTAGCGGTCACCATGGTAACTGCTCAAAATATTGCCTCCTTTCCTCCACCTAGCAGAGTGGAGTGGTCGCATCCTCCTGGCTCTGGGGCAAAAGACTAAGGTAGGAATTTTAACTCTGATCTCTCACATAGCAGTGCACTGTGCTATCACTAGAGCATCAGGTTGATCCCAATTTGTCTATGTAAAGAGCTATTACTTTATTTTAAGGCTTAGACAGCTAAACTTGAGCGGCACATGATAAAACAGTTTGGGGTCCCTGCACCAGAAGCAAGGCACAGACCTTTGTAAGAAGAGACGTCATATGAAAAACGGAATTACTGTTTTATAGACCATTGCAGTTCCAATATGAGTTAAAAGGGGTTGGCATGTGCAGATAGTATGCATACATAAGACCATGTTATACCCAGTTCAGCACTGGTATTTCTAAAGCTCAAAGTTTCCTATTGTTTGCTTTTCTAGAGGCCTTTTAATGCATCTCTTAGCTTTTTGAAACATCATTTTTATGTTGAAAAATTTCCCTTGCTTCTATTTTTCAATAGACTGGGATCAGATCCAGACCATAGACTCCTTACTCAGGAAAGGTGGCTTTAAGGCTCCGATTACCAATGATTTTAGGAAAACGATTAAACTCACCAGGTAAGCTGATGTGTTTGTCATCTTTTAATTTTACTTTATAGTGATTTTGTGGGTAACTTAAAGTATTAGTGTGTGATGTAAGTCTTCATGCCTCTTTCAGATGAGAGATGTAGTCTGAAAGACAAAAATCATAAATGCCGCTTGTTAGGCATATAATGTATATGGAATGAAGCGAATATGTTCGGTCCATGCAGGATCGCAGTTAGCATTTTCTAAGAGACATGCCACTGGTTTTAATATTATCATCACATGAAAGATCAAAAGAAGCAGAACCTTTGAAAGTTAAAAAGGTTGATTTTTCTGTATCTTTACAATGGACTTCCTTTTCTCAGTGTGCTCATCTGTGGATGGTGTAGCTATTCGGAGGTGACAGCTGTCTTAAAAACCAAACGACACTCAAATTTGGCTGGTTCTCAGAATTTGCTTGCTTTTCTATATCCCCAGCTGTCCTGTTGGTTTCAGCTCCCTTTATGTTAGTAAAAATTGGGACATTCTGGTTTTGTATAGAAACGCTAAGTTATCAGGTCGTTCCTTACCTCTGGAGAAATGAGGTGGGTATGCAGGGTTTTTTTTTTTAACAGGAGAGGACGGGATGAAGGTTTTCATTAAAATCTGGTGGAACGTGGACTTAGTGCAACTCACGACCACTTTGAAGTTAGACAAGAAGACACCCACCCTCTAGTCGAGGGTGTCCCTGCCCGCAGCAAGGGTGTTGGAACTAGATGATCTTTGAGGTCTCTTCCAACCCAAACCATTCTATTCTATGAAGTTATCTGTTGTGTAGCATGTTTTAGAAGCACCTGGAAATCTCTGGTCTCTCAGAAGGGACTTCACATTTTGTGAATTCTGATTGCACCACGTGGACTGAGTCATGTATATGCTACAGTAAACCTCCCTTTACCCAACTCTCCATCATTTTATTTCACTAGCCTTTCAAATGTGAAGATAACTACAAAAGTAAATAATAGTGAAACACTGGTTATTTAGTGTCTGAAACTGAGTCGTCTTCCAGAAAACTTCTCATGGCCTTTTTTTTTTTCCCACAGCAAGTGGATAAAAAGAATACAAGTTGATTATTTGTTTTCTGTGTGCTACTTCAGGAGTCCCCTTCATTATGATTGCCTTGAATAGAGCTCAACTTTTGTGACATCAAAGCTAATTCAAGCTTAGATGGGTTATTCAGACTACTGCATGAGGCAATATCAAACAAGGTAGTTTATGAAGTTAGTGGGTACCTCTTGGTCATTATTGGTTGTTAGCTAAAAGGTGATCTGGGTCAAATGGGTTCTATGTCTAGTCCCTTCATATTGCATAGTCTATTTACGTTATTTTTTCTTGCACTGTTCCCATAGGTACCGCAGTGAGAAGGTGACAATCAGTTATGCAGAATACATGGCTTCCCGTCAGCATTGTTTCCAGAATGGCACTCTTCATGCCCCCCCCCTCTACAATCATTACTCCTGACACACGGCTGCATGACCAGTCCCACTCCCCAGTTGCTGCCAATGGCTACGACATCATTGGGGCAGATGCCTCCTCTTCCTGGTCCAGTTACTTCTATTACTGCACCATTTTATGATGCTAGCTTCCGTTGCCAAGTCTGCCTTCCAGCTGACCTGGGGGGAGGATGAGAGCATGACAGAACTTCAGGGGCCCAAGCCTTATCTCAGCCTTCCCTCCGAACGGGGGTTCAGTTGGATTGGGGCTCCATGCCTACGAACTGTCGTGAGGTGCAGAAGACCTCTAGGAGTGAAAGTGCCACTTTGGACTGATCCGTTCTTGTGTGTTACCAACACTCTGGAAACCTGAGCTGTTCATTACGGAAGCCCCCCAGATCAAGTAGGAGCATTCCCCTGGCAGCCTGGGCAACGGAGTCCAACAAAACATTTTTTAGGTTCTTTTTAATTTTTTTTAACCTCTGGTATCTGTTGTGTACCAAGAGCTGATTGCAGTCCCCACGCATCACAGGCGGACATTATGATATTGGGGAGGGTTGAAGATCTGGATGGCACCCCATCCTCACAGGACAGAAAACACTTGAAGATGTGAAAAACCTTTTGATGGTATTGCAGATGAATCCATTATTTAAATAAACCCTAGAAGGCTTTAATTATCAGATCCCGCTGTAGGTTGGATTCTCTAAAAATCCTCTTGGTTTACAGTTTTCTGGGTTTTTAGACAGTGCTTTGTAACGTAGCCTGCTATGAAACAGAATGCTGTTATGCCTGTAAGAGAGCAACACGGCACACGCTGTGTACACGAAGGACAAAGTACTTGAGTGTCCCTGGACGATCTTCTCTGTTACAACCACGTTTTGTGTTCAAACATTTGTAACAGAGCCTGATTGGATTAGGGATGAGGAGGGATTTGCAGGGCATTGACTATAGTCATACAAGTGAGACTAGTGACTGAAATTTGTTTAACTTAAGCTAACAGTCTCGGGGACCTTCCTTTTCATAGGACAGCCACTTTCTCTGGTGTGACTATCGATCTTGAGAACTGTTGAGTATTGCAGTTTATAGCAGGCCTATGGAATAGAGCTATGTAGTTTCACTGGTAAATTATTATACAGTTTAGTCATTACCACATCAAGGCAATGAGTGGAGAAACCTGTGTTACCCAAACTGTGTGAAACTCCTGTGCATTCTGTGTTTCTTCTCCCATCATTGCTGATTACAAGAAATGCTCTCATCTAAGAGGAAGATAAGTTATCCAGTTGTTATTCTGCAGCATCATTAAGAGATGTCATAAACTCTAAATTATGATGCTCTCTCAATGAGGTCACTGGACTTCAAAATATAACTTTGTGGGGTTTTTTTTGGTTGGTTTTCCAAGTTTCTGGAGGGTCAGCAATGATCAGGAGAGAAAATACAAGTGCATAGCAGAGCAATGGCTATTTGGTTGCATGTATCTTTAAAGTTTCCTTGTGTGTGGTAATGATGGCTTTTAAAATTGGCTGGCGTTTCAGGCCTGAAATTCTCTCCTGGCATGGAAGGGAATAGGGCTGGTAGAAAGCTCAGAACTGCATGCTGCTGCTCCTTCTGGTCCTAGAGAAGCAAACAAGACTTGTGCAGTTTTGCTTCATGTTGGTGTAAACCTCTCCTGCTGGAGGAGAGAGACGTGAGGGAAAGGAGAGGGTCCTATTCTGGATAACAGTGCAATATCGACCCAGCTTTCTTCCTGTACTGGGTCATTCTTACAAATTGCCACTTTTCCCTTGTGATGTTGTTGAAAAGCAATTGAAGATTAAGGGATTGTTTCATGATTTCCTGCTGCTGAGAATAAATGGGTCTTGTTACAAACTCGAGTGGTTTGTAATTACTCTCCCAGGTGCCGTGTAGTGATGGGGGAGGGTGGGGTCAGCTCTGGACATACCATTCACCTTTCAGCTGTCAAACAGTATGATACATAGGGCTACACTCATTACTGTTCAAGTGTTCTATGTTAGAATTTAATTTCTAAAAGGTTTAAGGAAAAAAAAAGCAAAAAAATGGTGCTAAAACTTCACCCCTGAGCACGCTCAGTGAGACTGGTCATGCAGGCATATAGTGCCAGGCTTTTCAACAATATTGTTTCTTTTTCAAATGTTTGCCCTGTTCTGTGTCTTCAACAGTGTATAGTGTTTTCCTGATTTCATTTTATTTGAATAGGGGATGACTAAGGGGTGGGGTGGGGAGGGTTAGCTGTCATTTTTTAAAGAACAGAATTTTAGGATTGAGTGACTTGGTTGGTTTAAGTCTGAAGCGGGCTAGATGGTTTGGGACTGGGGAAGCCTTATCCTCTCCCACTTCCATTTCCCCACTCAGTCTGTTTAAAAAAAAAAAAAGACAAAAATGCCTCTAAATATGTACTGTGTTCTTGTCTTGTTGCAGTGAGAAGTTAGCAAATCAGAAATTGGTCTGCTGCCTAAGAAACAGGCCCACTCAGCTTTGGTCCCGTAAGGGTCCAGCTATAAAATCAGTTGAAAAGTATGTCAATAGTTAAGTTAGCTCAGAAAAATGTATGACAAGGATAGGTGGTCTCAGGAAATAATCCCATTTCTAGATCATTACATGGCAGCTATGCATAAGGATGAAAGAGGTGAACTAGAAACAAAATGTACTTTGAGTTGCCTCAAGATGGAGGCTATCAAAATCAATGACCAACTGATGTAAGAATTTCTCCATGGTTCCCTGGCTGGGACAGCAGGTTAGAACTACTCCTTCGCAAAGCAACTGTTACCTGGTTTGGTCTGGATTTAACTCATCCTTAGAAGCAAGTGCCTTTTGGTCTAGAAGGGCTTATTCTCATGACAACCACAACAGAGAAATAATCTCACTGCAATTATGAATTGTCTTTGTTTTACAGTAACTACAGGAGAATGTCTTTGATCACTGGAGTCTGTCAGTGTTGGAATGTTTCCACTGTGAGGTTCTGAATTTTTTTTTTCATAATTTCAACAGTCAATCTCAACTGAGGCCATTTCAGTTTGGGAAGGTTTTATGGTCAAAATATCACATATCTACAATTTACCAGAACAAAAAAAAAAAAAAACTGTAAGCAAATCTTAAGAGTTCATTTTAACCTTTGCACAGAATAATTTGTTTTCATAGTACATTAACAAACATCTGCAATCTTCACTGACTATTAGTGCTGTTTTCTGTTTGTATTCTCGAAACTACATGTTGTTTTGTTGGGGTTTTTTTGGTTAATTTATTTCCTTAAAGCAGGAGACCTCTTTTGACCTTCAGTGCAGAGATGTCAGACCAATTCTTTGTATTACACTTGGTTGCCTCCTACCTATATAATAACTTCTGAGTGTAAATAATTGAACTCTATCCTCTAATGAAGTATTGTAGAGAATAAATCATAATGGATAAAGATTATTTGTACTGTCCTCTTTATATGGTTTCTCACAGCCTTTATGGGGGATGAGATGAAATCTTTCTCATGGAGAAAGATGAACAACATACTACATGTATGAATACCAAATCTGTAAATTACATTAAACATTCAGAACCAGGGAGGTTGCCAGAATGGGATGACAACTGTCTGGAAGCAGAGAAATAGTTAAGACAGGCTCACTAGAAGAAAGTGAGGAAAAATAGTAGGAAAATTAAAAACAAAGATCAAATATGATTCATTAATAATGGCATAGCAAAGTATATTTGTATCCTGAAATAACGTTTGCTTGACAATAAATCCCTCTTAGTTGTCATGATGGTGAAATATATAAAGCACATACATAGAGAATTCTATATCGTACTGAAAACCCTGAATTTGTAAATCTGTCTTGAACTACCAAAATTGTTATTTGTTTGTCTTTTAAAATGAACTAATGAAAACAGATTATCTGTACTTCACAGGTTGTAGTCTTCAGGTGTTCTAAAAATTTTATTTCAGAAAAAAGAAACGCCCATCTTTCTAGATTCTTACTAAGTATTTTAATGTTTCCTTTGCGACAGGATCAATTGATTTGTACAATGATTTTGATGTACATGCCTCTGGCTTAAATGTTGGGGTTTGGTTTGGGTTTTTTTTCCATACGCTTTCAGGTTATTGCTCATTTTTATCTACGGCAGATGTATAGTTAAAGATCTGACATTTCCTGTTTGTGGTTCTTGGGAAGGGCAGCCCTGGATATCAATGAAGGAACAGGCATAAGACACCCCCACCTCCCAAACCCCAACCAAACCAAGGGGGAGGGTAGTTTTGACTTAAATATGCCTGAGAAGCTCACTGACTTCAGTGCAACTACAAAGCAAAAACCTGTTTTCAGAAAATATGCTTCTGGTACTAGTAAAGCTAGAAAGTAAGTCCTCTATACAATATGAGGATACAGTGACTTATTTGTGTATTTTTTATGGCATACGTTTTTCCTTACTTATTTTTTTTTGTTTCACATCGAATCAGTGAGACATAAAATCTTTGTCCGGTGTCTTTCATCAGAGGTTCTTTCATGCGTGTTGCTTTCTGTAACTGCAGTAACACTCAGCAACTCACAGTGAAGATGGGGCCAAGTAGAAGGGTGTACATATGACTGCACACTGAAATAGTTCAATCCAGACTAAATATAAACCAGGATAATTCTCCAGAAAACACTTTCTTCTGGTTTTGCTTCTGTTTGAAATAAGAAATGAAATTAATTAGTCATTTAGCACTCACTTCCTTCTAAAAACAACTTACAGAAAGGTTACGAGAAATCTCTACAAGATACTTCAAATGAAGAATACTTGAGCATTTTTATTCTAAAGACAAAAAATTTTAATTCTGGACAAAATTTACATTATAAACTACCTAATTGTGATTGAGAAATGCCACTTCTTGGGAATAAGAATTAAAACCAGAACACTTTCCCATGTGACTCAATAAATTATTATTTATACTGACCTGTGTTTTATGATTGCTTTCAAACTGAATTGTAGTACGTGGAGCAGTAGGATAGAAAACTTACTAAACTGGTTTTGCTACAATCTGCAGAAAGATCACCTGTGAATATGTTTGATGATTGCTCCCAAAGCACAGAAAGCCCAGAATATCATTGTTACCATGTTCCTTAAAACAAATATGTAACTCTACAAATTGACCAATATCCAGATTATGGAAACTTTTTTTTTTTTTTGTTAGCTGGAGTATTCTTATAATCAGATGAATTCTGACATAAATGATGCATTATACAACCAGTTGATAGTATGTTTAGATGTCATTACACATGTATTTAAAAACTTAATAGATCATGCAAGAGCCAATTTTGCATTCAGAGGCTTATTACCACTTTATTACTGGGTATTACTATAATTTTGTATTGCTCATGCATCTTCATTATAGTTTTGGATATATAATTTTAAATGGTGTAAAAATAAAGGTAAAATGGTATGAAAACCTAAACTTGAGGAGTTATACTTTAA